CCTTTTCACCTTTTCCTCTCTTTTGATCTTCTTTATGTGACTTAACTCTTGTCCAGCACATCCTCAGATAAACCCATAGTTAACTAGTAGACCCTATCACCCATTGTGTACACACTTAATCCACAAATTTATTACTCAATTCAAAACCTCTGAGACATAGTCCCATGGTTTCTCTTATTTGCAATAAATAGCACATGTCTAGGACAAGCAGAAATGGTCAAAAGCTACATACATATGGCCATATTTCATGATGTTAAGAGAAATGAACCCCAAGATAGGGACACAAGTTTTTTTTCTTTCTTGTTATTGTTTTTAATGTCCTTATAATGTATTTTGTGATTTTTGTTTCTTTTTTAATTTTAATTTTATTTTAATTTAATTTTTATTTTTATTGTGAAAATACTGTACAGAGGGGTTACAGTTACATGAACAAGGTAATGAGTACATTTCTTATCCAGCATTGTTGCCTCCTCCTTCATTTTTCCCCTACCATTCTGTCCCTCCAACCTCCTCAACTACACCTCCTCACTCCCCCACACTCTCCTTTGCCCCCACCTAAACTGTAAAGTTTGTTTTTCGATATAGCCTCTTGTACATCTCATTGTTCTGTATGTTCTTTCCCCACTGTATAACCCCGGTTTTCTTTGCATTTGATTCTATTGTCCTGCATCTTATATATACATTTTTATAATTTGGGCATGGGAAGGGATATAAGAAAATACTTAAATAGTGATGCAGTTTGACCCGTTATAACAATGAGATGTACAAGACACTATGTTGAAAATGAATTTTACAATTTTGGAAGGCGAGGGATGAGTTGCGGAGGGGGGAGGGAGGGATGGTGGGGAAAAACAAAGGAGGAGGAAATAATGCTCTATTGGAAATGTACTTATTACCTTACTCATGTAACTATAACCCCTCTCTATAGTATTTTTACAATAAAATATATATGAAAGAAAAATTTTTGAGTTCTCAGGGTATTTTAGTTATGAGGCCTTGTCTGTTGTATGACTAGTGAAGATTTTCTTCCAATCTGCTAGTTTTGTCATCTGTCATGCAGAAGCTCTGCAGGTTCATGCAATCCCATTTGTACAACCTTTCTTTATTTTTTGTGTTTCTGGCTCTTTGTTAAGAAAATGTCAGCCTATACCAAGAAGACCTAAGTTTTCTCCTATTCCTTCTTATAATATTTTCAGGGTATCTTCTTTCACCTTGAGGTCTTCAATACATTTGGAATTGATTCTTGTGCAGGATGATATATAAGGATCCAACTTTAGTTTTCTACAGGTGTTTAGCCAATTTTGCCAGCATCATTTGCTGAAGAGGCTGTTTTTCCTCCATCTTATGTTTGACTCCCTTATTAGAAATTAGGTGGCCATAAATCTGTGGGTTCATTTCTGGATCTTCAGTTCTATTCCATTGATGCTCAGGTCTGTTCTTGTACCAATACCAAGCTGTTTTGATTAGTATAGCTTTGTAATAAAGTTTGAAGTTTGGTATTGATATTTCTCCAGCACTATTCTTTCTGCTAAGGTTTGTTTTTGCTATTATTATTCCATATGAGTATTTGTATTGCTTCTTCTATTTCATTGAAGAAAGAGGTTGGGATATTGATGGGTATTGCATTGATTTTTTATATATCCTGGTAGTATTGCCATTTTCATGATATTAATCCTTCCAATACAGAAGCATGGACCCTTAGCAAACCTCACCAAAAAAAAAAAAGAACAGAACACATCCAAATAAACAACATCATAGATGAGAACAGAATAATCACTACAGAAACTAGCAAAATTTCCATAAGGAAATTTTTTATGGATCTTTACACTATAAAATTCAAAAATCTGGAAGAAATAGAATTTATAGCAAAAATTGATATACCCAAACTGAATCAAGAAGATTTAAAACAACTAAATACACCCATATCAAGTAACAAAAAAATAGAAACTGCAAAATGAGACCTCCCATCCAAGAAAAACCCAGGTCCAAATGGATTCATAACTGAATTTTATAGGGACTTCAAAAGAGAACTCTCTCCAATACTCCTGAGTTTCTTCAATAAAACCAGAAATGAAAACTGACTGTCAATCTCATTCTATCAAGTCAACATACCCTCATCCCAAAACCAAAAAGGAATTCATCAAAGAAATAGAACTATAGACCCATTTCTTTGATGAACATTGATGCAAAACTTCTCAACAATATTCTGGCTAATGGATTCAACAACTCATCAAAAATCATTCCCTGTGATCTAACTGGATTCATTTCAAGGATGCAAAGCTGGCTCAATATATGCAAACCAGATAATGTAATTTATTACACCAACAGGATCAAGGACAAGAACCACATGATCATCTCAATAAATACAGAAAAAAAGCATCTGACAAGATCCAATACACCTTTATTATGAAAGCTCTGGAGAAACTAGGAATCCATGGAGCATTCCTCAATATAACAAAAGCTGCGTATAACAAACCTACAGCTAGCATTATACTTAATGGCAAAAAGCTAAAGCCATTTGGTCTAAATTCAGGAATGAGGAAAGGATGTCTGCTCTCTCCACTCCTCTTCATGTAGTATAGAATGCCTAGAGAAGATGCAAACATTAAGGAAATCCAAGTAGGAAAGTTGATGTAAAACTCTCCCTCTTTGCAGATGATATGATCCTGTATTTAACGAACCCCATAGATTCCACTCCCACATTACTCGAACTGATTGGAAACTTTAGCAAAGTAGCAGGGCATAAAATTAACCCTCAAAAGTCAATGGATTTTCTATATGCCAATAATGAGAAGAGTGAGCCATAGGCGGTATGACCCTCACTGTAATTTGCTTTCACAGTGGCCTCTCTGAGTGGGGCATGCTCAGTGCAGCTCTGAAAAGCTTGACCTTTGACCTGTGCTTAAGGTTAGGGTCCCCCTCACAACCCATCCTGAGTGGAGGCAGCCTGGCCTGCCATCAGGAGAGGGAGTTACAGAGTAATTATTCTACTCTTCTTTTTACATGCAGAAATGTTTATTTAAGAATATGAAATAGGATTTTCTTTCACAGATACTGATTATTTCCAATTAAATAAAAATACTTGATTTAAAAAAAATAATGAGAAGAGTGAGGCTGAAATCAAGAAAGGAACTGGTTTTGTAATGTTCACCCACAAATAAAATACCTAGAAATCAATTTAACAAAAGAGGTGAAGGACCTCTATGATGAAAACTTTTAAAACCTGAAAAGGGAAAGTAAAGATGAATTAAAGAAACCTCCCATGCTCCTGGATTGGTAGGATTAACATTATGAAAATGGCAATACTGCCAAAGAACATCTACAATTTCAATGCAATAACCATCAATATCCCAACATCATTCTTTATGTTTAGTCTTTTAAGAACTCTCCATACTGCTTTCCAGACTGGTTGAACAAATTTACATTCCCACCAACAATGTCATGGCCATATCTTGCCAGCATTTGTTATTGTTATCTTTTGATAATGGCCATTCTACCCAGGGTGAGTCGAAATGAACGTGGTGCTTTGATTTACATTTTCTTTATGAAAGGGGATCATGAAAATTTTTTCATGTGTCTATTGGCCATTCTTATTTCTTCTAATAAGAAAGTTCTTTCTAAGTCATTAGCTCATTTATTACTCTGTTTTTGTTTCTTTCACTACTAAGTATATTGTTTAGCTTTAAGTATATTTTGAAATCAAAGGATATTGTGATATGAAGCTGTTCTCTGATGGACACCTGTTTAAAAACTCTCAGAAGTGGGAGTGTTGGTGAATAGGGGAGCTCTATGTGGAGTCTTTTGAGGAATCTCCATACTGCTTTCCAAAGTGGTAAAACAAGTTTACACTCCAACCAACAATTCAGTAGGGTTCCTTTTTGGCCATCACCCCTCCAATATCTGTTGTTATTAGTTTTCTTGATTCTAGGAATTCTAACTGGGGTGAAGAGGAATCTCCAAAGAAGTTGAGCATTTCTTTTTTATATAATTTTATTGTAAAAATACTATACAGAGGGGTTACAGTTGCATGAGTAAGATAATGAGTACATTTCTTGTTTTTTTTTTATTTTTTGGGGGGGGGTCCGGTCTCCAGTCGTGGGGCTTGAACTCTGGACCTGGGCGCTGTTTGTCCCTCAGCTCTTCAGCTCAAGGCTAGCACTCTACCACTTGAGCCACAGCGCCACTTCCGGCTTTTTTTTCTTTTTGCTTATGTGGTGCTGAGGAATCGAACTCAGGGCCTCAGGCATGCAAGGCAAGCGCTCTACCACTGAGCCACCTTCCCAGCCCCAATGAGTACATTTCTTATCGAGCATTCCTACCTTCTTCTTTGTTTATCCTCTATGATCTCTTCGCTCCCTACTTCCCCAACTTCTCTCTCCCCATCCCCTGAAATTGTAAAAATTCATCATCAACATAGTGTCTTATACATCTCATTTTACAAAGGGTCATTCTGTAACCTTATTTCAGCATTTTGTTATTTCCCTTCCCCTCACCAAATTAGAAAAATGCATATACAATATTCAGGGGACCGGATTCAAATACACTGAAAATAGGAGTTATGCCATGGGAGAAGAACATACAAAAAATGACATGGTATATTATAAATACATTAAAAACAGCAAGAAAGAGAAAAACCACTTGTGTTTCAATCTTGGGGTTGATTTCTCTTAGCATCATATTTTTTTATTGTGAAAATACCGTACAAAAGAGTTACAATTACATGGGCAAGATAATGAGTACATTTCTTATCAAGCATTGTTGCCTCCTCCTTTGTTTCCCCTTATCATCCCTTCCCATCTCCCCCCACCCCCCGCCACTCCCATACCCACCATGAAAGTTGTAAAGTTCGTTTTTCCACATAACGACTTGTACATCTCGTTGTTGCAATGGGTCCACATGTATCCCTATTTAAACTATTTTTCCCTTCCCCTCCACACATTATATCAACATCAAATACAGTGAAAGCAGGGGTTTTAGCGTGGGGAGGGACATACAAAGCAACAAAGAAATCATCTTATAAATATGTTAGAAACAATCTCATGAATTCAAAAATATTTGAATACTTATCTTGGGGTTCATTTCACCTAACATCAACTTATCTGACCATTTCTGCTTGTCTCAGACATATACTAATTATTGAAAATAAGGGAAACCATGAGACCTATGTTTCTTTGGGCCTGGCTTACTTCACTTGATATAATTTTTTCCAAGTCTTTCCATTTTCTAACAAATGGGGCAATGTCATTCTTTCTGATAGAGGCATAGAATTCCATTGTGTATATATACCACATTTTCTTGATCCATTCATCTACTGAAGGGTATCTGGGTTGCTTCCATATCTTAGCTATGGTAAATAATGCTGCAATAAACATAGTTGTGCTGGTAGCCTTAGTATGGTATTGATCATTTGGGTAAATGCCCAAAAGTGGGATTGCTGGGTCTTAGGGGTGCTCTATGTGGGGTCTTTTGAGGAACCTCCATACTACTTTCCAAAGTGGTTGAACAAGTTTACACTCCCACCAGCAATGCAGTAAGGTTCCCTTTTGTCCACATCCGCTCCAGCATCATCTTATATGGTCGTATGTACATAGCTTTTAAACTTTTCTAATTGTCCTGGATGTATACTAGTTGCTGCAAATAAGGGAAGCCATGGAACGTATGTTTCTTTGGGCCTGGCTTACTTCACTTGCTATAATTTTTTCCAAGTCTTTCTATTTCCTAGCAAATGGAGTAGTGTGAGTCTTTCTGATAGAGGTATAGAATTGCATTGCATGTGTGTGTGTGTGTGTGTGCACGCACACACATGCGCGTGTACCACATTTCTTGATGCACTCATCTACTGAAGGGCATCTGGGTTACTTCCATAACAGCTATGGTAACTAATGCTGCAATAAACATAGTTGTGCTGGTAGTTCTGGTATGAACTTGTTTGTGATCGTTTGGGTAAATGCTCAAAAGTGGGATTGCTGGGTCTTTGATCCATTTAGTTTACTCTGGTACAGTGATATAAAATAATCTATCTTTATTTTAATACAGGTGTTTAACCAATTTTGCCAGCACCATTTACTGAAGAGGCCGACTTTCTTCCATTCTATTTTTTTAGCTCCCTTGTCGAAGATTAGCTGGGTACGTGTCTGTGGGTTCATTTCTGGGTCTTCAGTCCTATACCATTGGTCCTCTGGTTCCTTTGCCAGTACCAAGCTCTTTTGATTATGATGGCTTTTAGTAGATTTGAAATTCAGTCTTGTTACTCTAGCACTGTTCTCTCTGCTAAAGATTGTTTTTACTCTTCGGGGTCTTTTATTGTTCCATATGAATTTTTGGATTGCCTCTTCTATTTCCTTGAAGAATGAGGTTGGCATAGTGAAAGGTATGAAATTGAATTTATAGATAGCCTTTGGCAGTATTGCTATTTTCACCATGCTAAGTTTTCACCATGCATGGGAAGTTTTTCCACTTACTTAGTTCTGGTTTAATTTCTTTTTTCAGGTTTCTAAGATTTTCATCATAGAGGTCCTTTGTTTATTAAGTTAACTCTTAGTTATTTTATTTTTTGTGGGCTATTAAAAAAGGAGTTGCTTTGCTGATTTCAGCTGCCCTCTTCTCATTAATGGCAGACAGAAAAGCCAATGATTTTTGAGGGTTAATTTTATGCCCTGCTACTTCGTCAAAGTTTTGAATTAGTTTGAATAATTTGGGAGTGGAGTCCATGGGATTCTTTAAATACATGATCATGTCAACTCCAGAGAGGGAGAGTTTAACTTCATCTTTCCATATTTGGATCCCCTTTATGTTTGCATCTTGTCTTATTGCCCTAGCTAGGCATTCTAATAGTAGGTTGAAGAGAAGTGGAGAGACTGGACATCCATGTCTCATTCCTGAGTTTAGAGGAAATGGCTTTAACATTTCATCATTAAGTATAATTTCATCATAAGTATAAGGTTTGTTTTACACAACCTTTATTATATTGAGGAATGTTACATGGATTCTTAGTTTTTTCAGGGCCTTCATCATAAAGGGGTGTTGGATCTTGTCAAATGCTTTTTCTGCAATTATTGAGATAATCATATGGTTCTTATCCTTGCTCTTGTTGATGTGATGAATTATATTAATTGATTTTCATATATTGAGCCAACTTTGAATTCCTGAAATGAATCCAGTTTGATCGTGGTGTATGAGTTTTTTGATGAGTTGTTGAAGTCAATCGGCCAAAAGTTGGTTGATAAGTTTTGCATTGATGTTCATCAAAAAACTGAATCTATAGTTCTCTTTCTTTGATGAGTCCCTGACTGGTTTTGGGATGAGGGTTAAGATGGCTTCATAGAGAGTTTAGTAATGAACTTTCACTTTCAGTTTCATTGAAGAGTTGGAAGAGTATTGGTGTGAGTTCCTCTTTGAAGTCCTGGTAGAATTCAGTAGTAAATCCATCCAGTCCTGGGCTTTTCTTGTGTGAGAGGGCTCTTATTGCTCTATTTTGATGCTTGATATAGGTCTGTTAGGTTGGGTTAAATCATCTTGGTTTAGTTTTGGCATGTCGATATTTGCTAGAAAATTGTCCATTTCTTCCATTAGCATAAACGTTGGAGAAGTATTCCCTTATAATGTTCTGAACCTTGGTTTATTCTGTGGTGATGCTTCCGTTCTTATTTCTGAGTTTGTTTATTTGGGTGTGTTCTCTTCTTTTTTCTGATAAGATTTGCTAAGGTTCTGTCAATTTTGTTATTTTTTTCAAAGAACCAACTCTTTGTTTTGTTGATTATATGGTTTTTTCTAGTCTAATTCATTTAATTCTGATTTAATTTTAATTATTTCTTTCCGTCTGCTGGATGTGGTTTATCTTGCTGCTCTTTTTCAAGGAGCTTCAGGTGTCTCATTAAATTGTTAGCTACAGATCTCTTCAATTTGTT